AAAAGAGTAGTGTTGACATCAGCCACCACAATAATTAATGTAGTGGCTTTAAGTTGACCTAAAATAGGACAACTTAAGATTGTATCAGTTATAGCGTCACTTTCTGTAGGTACAGCTGTGGGAACAATGTTCATATCACTTGTATGAAGATTTGGGCTGATCACCAGGGTGAACTGGAGAATGACTCTGTGGTGAAGTGTCCCCTCTGTAGAGAAGAATTTGCACCATTAAAGCTCATTTTAGAAGAATTCAGGAATTCCACTCAGCTTGTGACTCCAGCAGAGAAAGTGAGACTTGACAGACACCTTGGACTCCCTTGTAACAACTGCAGAATATTTCCAATTGAGGGAAAATGCTACAAGTAAGCATTTTTAAAACAAAAGAGGTACACTTAATTTAACAGTACAATTCATTGTAACAACCTATAACTACTACTTATTCTCCTTTATCTTTACTATAACTAAACAAACAATGCTACTGTGTGGGATAGATTACTTTGGTTCTTCTAGCTCCGAGATGATCATATGTTCCATCCCTTGGGGCTGATTTCTGGTCAATTTACATTACAGTGATCTGTGTAACAGACTTCTAATGGGATCTTTAGCTCCATGTATAAAGTTGGGTCAGCATCTCGGAATTCCCTAGTGCAGGGGTGGGGAACCTTTTTTGGGTCAGGGACCATTGACCCACAGAAAAAATCAGCAAAATGAAAAAATAAAAAAAGCCAACCCTATCACTGACCTGGCTTGCAAGTGAGAAGGAGAACAACAACCCTGACAAGTGGCCCTCAACCGATAAAATAAGAGATGCTCACCTCACTCCCCTCACACGCCAGCCCCGTGGATTCAGAGCTTCACCCAGGGATGAATTAACTTTTCGAGGGGCGGGGGACAAGGTCTAGTAGATTTTGTGAGGTAGGCTCTGGGGTGGGGATAAAAATGAAGGATTCAGTGTGTGTGAGGGGGCTGCCAGGGAGCAGAGCGAGGGTGCGGAGTGGGAGCTAGGGTGCAGGAGTAGAGTGGGATGTGAAGTCTTTGTCTGGTTGATCAAGCTGTATCACGCTACGTATTTGGTTCAGCATTTACAGAACAAAAGATATATATATATATATATATATAGTGCTTTTAAAACTGCTCCTGAATTGAGTGCAATAAAACTTGTTAAAGGTATAGTGATAGAAATGTAGCCGTGTTAGCCTGGTGTAGCTGAAACAAAAAACAGGACTAGGTAGCACTTTAAAGACTAACAAGATGGTTTAATAGGTGATGAGCTCATCACCTATTAAACCATCTTGTTAGTCTTTAAAGTGCTACCTAGTCCTGTTTTTTGTTTCAGCTACACCAGGCTAACACGGCTACATTTCTATCACTATACCTTTAACAAGTTTTATTGCACTCAATTCAGGAGCAGTTTTAAAAGCACTATATATATATATATATATATATAGTACTAAGCAATTAAAACAGCATTAAAAGACATTAAAAGTCATCACAAGCATTAAAAGACATTAAAAGCAATAATTAAATGGAATACTTAATCTAAATCTAATTTTAAACCCAATTTAGCAGCCTAATTCTTAATCCAATTTAACACACACACACACACACACACACACCCTCTGGGGCTGACCAGACCCCAGGTAATGTTGGATAATTTGGTTGAGGTGGAAGTCCGATGAGCACATCACCCCAATATGCCAAATCAATGGACTCCAACTCGTGGGGCAAAATGATGTGGTAAATATCCCCTTGGCAGGGGCCAGTCCGGTAGGATGCCATCCACTAGTTGCACACAGTCCAGGTGGGGTGATGTCCGTTAGTGACACCCCCTCCTTCTTACTGGTGTGTCCACGACCAATCCAGAAACACATGGTTTTTGCACCACCCAAATTTGCTTGCCTCACCACAAGTGAGAAATACTAGTCTGTCCTTGGTTAGATTCTTCCCTTGTTACTTTTTCTTATCTGGAAATGCTGCCACATCGCACACAGTCTTTCTTTTATTTCACACAGTCCTTTTTCTTAAAGTTGTAAACAAGTCCATAATCCTCCAGGGCTCTTGCCTGAACCTCAGTATAGCCTCTCTTCAGCTTACTTACTATTGATTCACTCATGCTAACCATTCAAACTGCTCATGATTCGTGACATATTGGCAGAATGTAGGGCGCAGAAGCAGAGTGGGGTTGGGGGGGCCTGAACAGAATTTAGAGTGCAGAATTGGGCTGAGGGTGCAGAGTCTGGGTGGGAGGAGGCAGGGGATTGGGGCGCCTACCTAGTGTAGCTCCTGAGGGGGCACAAATAGCTCTGTGCCTCCTTACTCTTATGGGTATTCCCCCCCCCCCCCATTTAGCCACAGTCCCTGGCCAATGGGAGCAACAGAGATGGAGACTGCAAGTGAACAGAGACATAACTTCCCTGTGTTGCCATTCCAAGCTGCTTCCTCCCTCCCTCCTACCAGGCAGAGCACAGGGCCTGGACACCTCCTGCAGCTTACCTTGAGCCGGTCCACAAGGTTTGGGGATCTCCCTCTCCACAATGGGGAGAGACTGCTCCCGCAGCTCCCAGCCATGCTGGGGGAGGGGGTCTTGTGGGACTAGGTGGAACCACTCTCCAACACTCATTGGTGGCAGGAAATGGAGCGGCATGACTGGGAGCCTAGGGAGTAGAGTGAGCTGAGTCTGGGTTCCTCCACCTACTGCTGCCATTAGTGAGTGCAGGAGTGGGTCCAACCCCTTCTCCTGGCAGCAAGTGCTCCACTCATCCCAGGGCTATGTTGCTCAGGGGAGGGAGCTTGAGGAAAGATGTGAAATGGAGGTGGGAAGAGGCACAGAAGTGGGGGATTGCTCTTGGCCCTGCACACTCACATAAGGATGTCCCTCCCCGAGGCTATGAGTGGCATAGGGAGGAGTCATATGGAGGGTGATCATGTGGTCAGTGCCCCAGCCCACCCCCCATATCTCTCCAGCAGTCGCCTATGTCAGTGTGGAACACTCACAGCCAGCAACAAACATGCAGCTCAAATTTCTGTATACTGCAGCCAGACATGATTTAGCAACTCTGACCCCAGCAGCCTGTCTACAGCCCCACTCTGGCTTCCACCAGTCTTATTATTATCAAAGTGATCCCAACACACTCCTAATCCCACGTTTTCTTCAAACCATGTACTCTGCAATGGCTAGCCTTCTCTTGGATAGTTCAGTGACATGATAAGGTTTATTGTTTCTGCTAAAGAGACAAAAGCAGAGCATAGCTTGTTTACTGGGTTAAATACACTATTCTCTGCAAACATATCACTGAGTTAGTTTTATTTTTACTATAAAGCAATTTATTAACAGGACATAGGTTTAGTGACACCAAGTAAAATGAATAAAGTTAGGGTGTGTCTAGACTACTGAGCTTTGTCGACAAAAGTGGACTTTTGTCGACAAAACTATACCTGCGTCTACACTACCGCTGAGTTCTGTCGACATAACGTCGACAGAACTCAGCAGTTTTGTCGACGCTGGTAAACCTCATTTTATGAGGCATAACACCTTCTGTCGACAGAGTTCTGTCGACAGCAGGTGTTATTGCCTGTAGGGTTGCGTCTAAGACTACAGGGTTTTGTCGACAAAGCATCTTGCTTTGTCGACAGAACTGAATGCGTCTAGACGCTCTATGTCAACAGAAGTTTTGTCGACAGTATCTGTAGTCTAGACGTACCCTCAGAAAGGGTTAGGCCTGGTCTACACTACAGAGTTAGGTCACCATAAGGCAGCTTATGTCAACCTAACTTTGTAAGCATCTATACTACAATGTTCCTCTAGTTGATTTAGCTTGCCTATAATAATAACTTCTGTGAAAAGCATAGCAATTAGGTCAATGTAGTTAGGTCAACACACTGCCCATAGAGACACTGTATCATATCACCTGTTGCTGCCTTTGTCAGCCTGAGAGCTGCCATTCCACCTGGGGCTGGCAGTCCAGGCTGTCGGCACCAAGACTCCGGCTGTCAGTGCCCCCTTACATCAGTGCAAGAGCTCCTGACAAGGAGACAAAATACTGACAGAAAAATCATAATATGAACCTGAAGAGCCAATTTAATTACTGCAGTGGCAACCTAAGTCAACCTAATTTAAGTAGATTTTAATTTTGTAGTGTAGACATGCCTTACAAGCATTGAAAGCACATCTAAAAATGAAGATAGTTGTGTCTCACCAGTATTTTCAGTCATGACTGACTTTTCCTCAGTTAGGACCTTCCACAGAAGTGCAAGATACTGGATATCCCTGTCTTCTTGGGTGAAGGACCTTAGTATAAGCACATTTGTAATCTATGCTCATTTTCCAGAGACTTCAACTCCTTCTTGGCTGAAGGACTCATCTTTCTCAGCTTGCAATAGTGCTGGCCTCTTGTCTGTAATTATGGATGCTGTAGGTAGCTCCAGAGCTTGTCTATTTCACCAACAGAAATTGATCCAATAAGAGTTTCTTGTCAGCTAATCTCTCTCAAATTATTCATAAAACAGGACTCTGTAGCACTTTAAAGACTAACAAGATGGTTTATTAGGAGATGAGCTTTCATGGGCCAGACCCACCTCCTCAGATCAAAAACAGTTTCCTGCCATTTCAACCAGAAAGGGCATTGTTTCAACGACTTGACTACCTGAATCCTGCTTCAAAGACATTTTAACACAAGACTTCAAAAAGAAACCTCTGAACTGTCATTCATGCTTAAATTTGACACTTTACGACTGGGTCTCAACAAAGATGCTAATTACCTTACCCATTACAAAAATAGCTTCCCCAGTTATCACCTCTAATATAATTAGCTCACAGACATTAACGTCCGCCCCCCTCCCCCCCGGTTCTGATTTGATTTGTCCTTTCTATAATGTATTCACTTATTTTTGATTGTATCCCTTTGGTATATATATGGTCATGCCAATTTTCTTCCACAATTTGATCTGAGGAAGTGGGTCTGGCCCACAAAAGCTCATCACCTAATAAACCATCTTGTTAGTCTTTAAAGTGCTACATAGTCCTGTCTTTTGTTTCAGCTACACTAGACTAACACGGCTACATCTCTGTTACTATTCAAATTATTCATGTAACTGTTTGCAAAAGCAGGGTCAATGTGCTGACTAGTTGCTTTTTACTTCAGCTGTGCTGGGAATTTGAATCACAGTCAAATGTATCAATGCTATGTTGAATCATGTGCATTTTAAATAAAATACTAATCAGCTACAATCTTCTTTTTCAACAAATACAGACACACAAAGGAATCCTTAGGATTCCTTAATCTTGAAATACTTCTTGACAAGTGTGCATATATCACTTTGTCATAACCTGTATTATCCTTGGGAGAAAAATACTGAAATGTTGCTGTTCAGCAAGCTAAAAGAATGCGTATGGGCTTCCTCCTTCAGATATAGAATAACCAGTGGTTTACAACCTTCTTTTCTTAGCAGACCCTAAAAAATGTTTAATGGAGGGATGGATGCCTCTGCAAATTTAAGACGATTCACTGAGCCCCAAGGGTCTTCTTACCACAGATTGAAAAACCTCTGTTCTGTGGTAATTGATAGCCTTTTGTGGACCCTTTTGACATAGTAAGTCCACAGACCACAACACTGGCATACATTATTTGCATCTGTATACAATTCAGCCAGAAACAAAGCAAAGGATTTTATTTTCTAAAAGCTTTTACCGGTGCCGTAGGTTTGAATTAAAACAATTTTATTCTTCAATATGGGAATTGCTGATACTAAATAGTAGAATGTTTAGCAATAGATTTTCTTATATTAATAAGTTCTCTGGAGCTGCTAATATTGCACTCTAAGTACCTTATATTTTTGTTTTTAGGTGCACTGAATGTAGTGAATATCACCTATGCCATGAATGCTTCACTCGCTTTTGCCATCCTCCACATACTTTTACTTTTCGACAGGTACAGAGCTCTATTTTAATGCATCATATCCAAAGCTAACTAATAGTCAGAAACAGAAAATACTGTACTGTACTTAAAAATGTAAAGCTGATTTAAAAAAAATAAAAACACCTTTACTCTGAATAAGATTACCACTATGAAATAGGAATAAGATATCTACTATGAAATGCTTAAGATAGCTAGCAAGGAGTAGCACCCAAAATAGGCCCAGCTCTGGAGATGGAGAGGGAAACATATGACTGGAATGTTGTCTGCCTCTGTACTTCTAATCTCCTGTCTTGCTCTGGACCTTTCAAATTATTCTTTGCAGAAATAGGGAACAGAGGATACGTCAGTTGAAGGGGACCGAATGTCATCCTTTTTCTCAGTTCTTGTGTCCAGTGGCATTTCTATATAAAATAAGACAGTCACACTGTATTTACTTCTTAGGGTGTGTCTAGACTACAGGGTTTTGTTGACAAAGTGGACTTTTGTCGACAAAAGTATACCTGCGTCTACACTATCGCCGCATTCTGTCTACAGTAAGTCATTCTACGAGGAATAACACCTTTTTTCAACAGAGTTATGTCGAAAAAAGGCGCCATTGCATCCACACTTGCTTTTTCAAAAGAGAGTGTCTAGACGCTCTGTCAAAAAAGCGGCTTGCTTTGTCGACAGAACTGGCTGTAGTCTAGACGCTTTTTTTCAACAGAGGCTTTTTCGACAGAGGCTTTGTCGACAGTACCTGACAAAAGCCTGTAGTCTAGATGTACCCTCCATGTCCCACTCAATGATAGAGGTCACCCTATACACAATGCTCAGGACAGCCACTAGCTAGAGAAGCCCTGTCAAGTTGTGATGGAACCACACTTCCAAGGGAGTGCAGGGGGTCACACTAGGGATGTTAAATTTTCCTAATCAGCTAATTGACTAGTCAACGGAATTTCTATCGACTAGTTGAAAAAAGGGCTCTTGTACATTTCAAACGAAAAGGCGCAGTGGGGAGCCCGTGCAAATGGGGACCAAAGCAGTCCCTGCTTACACTGCTGCACCTGTCCCTTTGAAATGTACAAGAGCCACAGCATTCCAGACCCTGCCTGAATGGAGACTGCTTTGGTCCGCGCTCGTGCCATTTCCCCCACTGTGTCTCTGCTTCCCCTGCTTTTCTTCCCTCCCCCACGGAGATGGTGCTGGGGGGCCCCCTCCTTTCCAGACCCCCCCCCCCCAGTGCTTCTGATACAGAGGCAGCAAGAGGGAGGGAAGTGACTAGTCGAATAGTGACTCAACTACCTGATAAGCCTAGGCTTATTGGGTAGTCAACTAGTTGCTTACATCACTAGGCCAGACCTAGAACTAAGGCATGAGGCACTATGAACTGCCTGAGACTTCCATCATGCTCTACGCAAGATCAAAAAGGCTCGGGGCCAGATCTAACCTATTGCCAATTAGTGCATTTCCTAGCAGACTAATTTTTATAGCATTAATTCACTGGATAGAGTCAAGCCACATAAACCCTGTGAATGAGGATTGCAATGGCCTCTTTGAGCTCAATGGCAGGCTTAAGCATATACATCTGTTTTTTTCTGCAATTTTGCTTCTAACGACCCAGAAATATTAACTCTTAAAGTTTACCATCCATAAGGATAAGATTGTTTGGGTTTTTTATTTCAGAGAGAAGGACCAAGATTGTCCTTTGCTGTTGAGAGAGAAAGCCCAGCACTTCAGAGCTTTTACATAACTTCCTACAACAGTTAGAGCCTCTTAAAATACAAGAATTTCAGTCATCATGGTGATTAATCTGTGTTTGTTGCTACAGAAATTTCTGGAGAACAAATGTATTACATTGTTCATAGTTTCTATTTTTATGATTTACAAAATCCATATTTTTGCTATTGAGAATAGCCAAATTACTTTTTGTATCACATTTTGCAGTCTTTCATTATCTCTTTTTTGTATGCAACAGAAGAGAAATCAGAGGTGGAGGTCACTCAACCAAGTTTCACAATTATCACCTTCAGAAGAGAATTTAAAAAGCATTAAAAATCAAGGTGATAATTCTGAAGAGATTTTACATCTTCAGGAGAAGTAAGATACTTTTTTCATTCTATATAACGTTATCCAATTCAACAGTCTTTAAAACAATAATTTTCTCAAATTATTATCATTATGTTTATAGAAATGGTCCTGTAAAGGACAATAGGAAATGCTTTAGAGAAACTAGATGTGTATTAACTTTGTATTTTCTTAACCTAGTTAAAATTAAATTTTAAATACATCTTGCAGGTGAGTAAGTTTCTTTTCACCTGTGTTTACAGACTAATGGCGTAAGCCTTGGAAGAACATTTTAAACTTTTGCATTATGAACTATTCTTTGGATAGCAGTTAAAAATCTGCCAGAAAAAAGCATAAACTATTCATTTAAAATTAAAATGTTTGGAATTTGAGTGGAAAGAGGAAGTACCAGTAATATCGTATGAAAATAGGCTTACCACCTAGGTTTGCAGAGGAATAAGATTTGAATAAATATGAATTGATGTGCTTATTGAAATCAAACTCTTTGTGGTTTATTGTTAATTAAGAGCTAGCATTGTGCCACTTTATACTAGCATAGAATACTGTTTTAGTGCACTCTAAACAGCAGCAGGATCCACACATTCAAAGAATCTGTACTCATCTCACAGAAAGTAAGGCAGGACAGCCTTGTTAAGACACTAGCCAATTTTCTGGCTCAGCACAAGCTCCCTGCATAACATTGAGCAACTCACTTAACCCCCTTTGGCCTTGGTTCTCCAGAAATAAAAAGGGGATTACAATCTTTCAACTCAAAGTTATAGGTTTGATGCAGGAATTACCTGAGTAAAATTCCCTGGCCTGTGTCATACAGAAGATCAGATTAGATTATCATAATGGTCTTTTTTTTCTGTAGGGAATAAGGCTCCACTGACAATGGTTTTGTAGTAAGATCAGACAGAGTCTCAGTCATAGTGACCAAACACATTAACCTACTGAATCATCAGTCTGTCAAAGTGATAGTTCAGTCATCAAAAACAGCCTGCCATTTTGAGGGTTTTAGTTTCTATTGCCTTTTTCTACTATATACTGAAAATAATATTCTATATTTCTATTGTTTAGGTCCAGTTGCATACCAAAGCACATTGTAAAATCTTTACCTATGATGTTGATTAGAAAATGTAGCAACTTTCTTGCTCCAGGTCTACAATGTAGGCTCTGCTTGAAGACCTTTTGCCTTGGTCAGTATGCAAGACTCTTGCCATGTAATCACAAGGTAAAAAAAAAACTTAAAATTTTAAATTTTACCAAAGTCAGAATCTAGTGTTCATGCCAAAATCTCACTGATAGCATGTGTGTTCATCCATGTATTCAGCCCTTCAATGTAGTTTAGACACTTATTTCCTCTAATGCTTAAATTGTCATCAACTTCTTAGATGAGAATTATGTGTGAATTATGCTATGAACTCTGCAGTGCAGCCATAGCCTCAGTATGACAGCTAAAAACAGGATAAAATATTGTTTAGCACAAGTAGTTAACATATCTTGAGGAACTATTCAGGTGAAGTGGGCTTCTAACACTCCTCCAGTCATAGGGAGAAAAGGAAGCAGGGGGAACAGCCGGGGACAGTTGCTAGTAGATTATAGATTGTAAATCAGCAATCCAGTGTTTCTATTAAGTCCATTATTTTTAGTGTTTAGCAAAGTTTATGAATTTACACTCCCAGGCTTGTCTTTTAAAAGTGTCGTGAAGGTTTCCTTTAAGGATGAGGACAAAGAGGTCAGATTTAGAGTGATCACTTTGGCTACATCTAGACTATACAGTTTTATCTTGGAAAAACTGTTCCGCGTCCAGGGAACATGTTAGCTCTTCCGCTTTCTGTGCAGAAGAGCAAACGCGCTCTTTCGGAAGGCCCTGTATTCCTCGTTCCACGAAGAAGAAGAGGGCTTTCGAAAGAGGGTTTTTTTTCCCCAACATTTGTCCCAGTCTAAACAGGCCAAATGTTGGAAAAGCCTCTTCCAACTAAAGAATGAGAAAAAGCTAGGCAAAACATGGAGCACATTTTGTGTAGCTTTTTCTGGAAAAAAAAGACCTAGCCTTTGTGAAAAGTGTTCATCCACAGCTGATATGATACTTTTGTCTTTTATCATTTTCCTGTGCAAATTTATTCAAAAGCATAGTGGATGTCTGATTGCATTCACATAGATAGACATGTAGGGCCCATGGATCTTAAAAGACGTGCCCTGGAGGTGCTGATCATTGTAGCAGTGGAAATGTCTGCAGATTTTGCATTTGTTCTGGAAGGGTATGGTGTTCCTTTGAGTTGGTGTGTCTTGAATTTGCTTCTGGAGATGAGCCTGGAGAAGCTGGGGGGTTGTTTGAAGGCCAGAAGAGGGTGTGGGGTAGAGAAAAAATTGTTTCCGGGTGGAGTCCTGAATGGTCCTGGTAAATAAGTGTTAACTACTTATGCTAAACTGTATGTTCCATCTTGCATTTAGTGATGATATTGAAGCCAGATCTCTGCTATGTACTTGCTTTGGTATAACTACGTTGCTCAGCTGTGGAAAAATTCATCTACCTGAGCAATGTAGTTTGTACCAACATTAACATGTACACATCCTATGTAGACTATGTTGTGTTAGTGGGAAAGCTTCTCTTTCAGACATAGCTACCACTTCTCTCAGAGGTGGAGTTAAGCTGAGGAGAAAGAACTCTTCCATTGGCTTAAAATGTCTTCACTAGCAGTGTCACAGTGGTGCAGCTGCCCTGATGCAATTTTGTCATGTAAGCCTAATCTGTTTCCCAGTTCTGAAGAAGAGCTCTATGTAAGCTTGTTTCTCTCACCAGCAGTAGCTGATACAATAGAAGATATTACCTCACCTAAATTCCCTCTAAGCTGTGTGGCAGCCACATGAGAGGCAAGTGGCCACACAGCTGCTCTGAAGGGCCACAAAGCAGGGGCTCAAAAAGAGGAGAGTGGATGGGAACTGGGAAAGGAAGCAAATTGAGCCGTGCAGGGCTACCATAGGCCTTTCCTCTGACCCTGGAACTTGCTGCTGCTAGCAGGGAGACAGTGGTCTCTCCTCTGAAGCTTGCTACTGCTGGCAGAAAGAGGGCTTGGGAGCGGGGGGAAGTCATCTGGCTCCAGCCAGGGCAGCCTGCCTGCACCCCAAACTCCTCATCCCCAGCCCCACCCAAGTGCCTGCATCCTCAGCCAGAAACCTTTGACCCCTCCTCCCTGCTCCAATCCTCTGCTCCAGCCCTGAGCCCTCTCCTACACTTCGAACCTCTCATCCCTGGGCCTGTCGCACAGACCTCACCCCCAACCCTCTGCCTTAGCCTGAGCCGTGCCCTCATCTCTTCACATCCCAACGCTCTGTCCTACCCTGAGCTCCCTTGTACACACTGAACCCCTCAGCCCTGCCCCATTAATTTTGTTATACATACCAATATGGAGGTGATTTGTCACATCACCTCTGTATTAGTGCACATAAGATTTATTCTGCACATGAGTGGAGAAAATTAGAGGGAAAACTGTACCTCACCCACTCTCCCTCATATCTTGGAACTATCACATCAGCAATACTGTAACTGAAGTTAAAAAGCAGATTTGTCAGATCTTCACTACTATAGCAACCCAGGTTAGTTGACTTAAGTTAGGATTTATTTCTTTTCTGCAGAAAAGATATTCCCAGTGTCTCTAATAAATGAGCAAACTCTTTTTCTGCTTTGGAGAGAAGAACACCTCTGACCAATGCTCTGAATGGTTTATTCTGAAGTGGAGCCTATAGCATTTTCTTGCTTTGCAATGCTTAGCCTTGTAACCTTAGAGGTCTTTTAATATACATTTGTAGAAAGGAGCTTTACTCATCTGAAACTCAGATGTTTTGCAACTGATTGGCAAATTCTTTTGTAAATGCCATGGGTTGGGACTACCTATCTGATTAGGCCAGCCTAGAATCCTTCCACATCCATTAAAATATTTCTCATGCAGCCTCCCTCTCTAGCATACCTTAGAAAGCCCATAGAAGATACCCCTTTTCAGATGCATCTAACTGGAGATCTGCAACTTGACGAAAAATATGTTCATAGTTCATGGATAAACGTGATGGATTTTTTACAGCAATTTACACCATCCTGTAGAAAGAAAAGTCATTGTTGTCTGAGACTAGATAAATATTAATCTAACTTCTATAGTTAGTATCTTTTATGTATCTAGAAAGAGTGGTAAATAAAGTGCCAGGAGAATTAGACTGAAAGAAAAGTACTGGACTCAACATTGAGTCTATAGATCAGTGAGCATAGATTCAACTATTTTCTTTTAGGAGTGTGATTAAAAATGTATTTGAAATCTGAGGCACATCAACAAATGTGCTTCAAATGTATTGATTTACAGCAGCTAATGTAAGTTGAGTTAAGGCATTTTCCATAATAAATTAGAGTTGGGACTTGATACATGAAAGGAATATGCCAGTTATACACTAATGTAGCTCCACTGAGACCCAGTGAGTGTACTCCTGATTTACAGTGGTGAGCGAGAAGAATCAGGCTCCTTGGAATGTTGTTTTTGGATGCAATAATAATTATTTCTATAGCACAGTTGGACCTCTTTGCTTTGGCACCTTTGGGACCTGTCTCAAACCCATTTGCTGATGGCCTGCAGGCTCTCCTGGGGGGCGGCCAGCCTCCTGCATGTCCCTCCTAGTCACTGACTCCACTCCTGGCCCAGGCCAGGCTCCCTATTGCCAGACTCCCAGCCACAAGCCCCCACTCTGAGCTGGGCTTCTGGCCACCAGCCTCCCCGCCGGCACCCACTCGCAAGCCACCAGTGTTCTGTAGTCCAGCAACATCCATGGGTCATGCCAGATCATGGATGTCATTGGACCAGAGAGTCCTGGCTTAGAGGTTGAACAGTTTCCTTCCAAATTGGATTAAATATTATTATATTGTTGATAATTATCAGGACACACTGTTCCATATATCTTACATGACTCTTTTTTGAAGTTCCACAGAGAATGTATTGACAACTGGTTACTGTACCACACAAATGCTTGTCCTATTGATGGATATATTGTGTATAATCCATTAACCTGGAAGGATACATCAGCCAATCGTGATGTCAGTCAGTCAGGATCTCAAACGTATAGTACAAAACTTGCAAAGCAGATGGAACCAGAGCTTTTCATACCTGGCATTGGGTTGCTCTTCAAGCAAACACTATTAGGCCATACACTTGAAAAATCTCAAGATAGCATCCAAAGACTTCATAATAATAAAGATCCACCACATTCTCAACAAGGTTTAATTTTAAATGGTGTAAGCTACTTTCATTTAAGAAATTCTGATTCTAGTCAGCATAGCATTGATAGAAATTTATGTTTACAATTTTCCAGGCATGGTAAAGATTTAGCTCATCAGCCTTTCCAGAAAATGCTGTCTCAGAAATCCTACTCTGTTATATCTAGAAAGGATACAATTTCTAATGATAAAAGAGATTTAAATGGACCTTGTACTAATAAAGAGAAAGGAGCACAATTGTGCCACACTGACCATG